TAGGCAGCCTAGTGCAATGTCTGTGGTTTGTGCTTTCGCCGTTGGGTCCTGTGGTGGCCCCTGAAGTCCCAAGATGGACCAGACCCAGGGCTTGGGCCCCTTTCCTGGGAAAAAAAGCAGACCTTTAACCATAGGGCCAACGAGAGAGTATATTGGTTATCTATTATTGCAAAACAAATTACCCCCAAGTTTAGCAGCTTAAAACAACAAACATTTATTATCTTTCAAGTTCTGTGGATTAGGAATTTGAGAGGGACTAAGCTGAGTTGTTCCTGTCTCAGGGTCTTTCGTGAGGTTACAGTCAAGCTGTTGGCTGGGGTTGTACTCATCTGAAGGCTTGACTGGGGTGAGAGGACTTGTTTCCAATATTACTCACTCATGGCTGTTGGCAGGAAGCCCCAGATCCTCACCACAGGGGCCTAACCATAAGGCTGCTTGAGTGTGCTCATGACAAGGCAGCTGGCTTCCCCTGAGGAAGAGAGAGCCAAGAGGAACCCACAATGCCTCTTATGACCCAGCCTTGGATGTCACATACAGTCATTTCTGCTTTATTCGGTTCTTTTGAAGTGAGTCAGCAAGCCCAGCCCACATCCAAGGGGAGGGGAATTAGGCTCCACCTCTTGAAAAAAGGAATGTCAGGGGATTTGTGGACCTATTTTAAAACCTCAGGCCCATTTCCTGCAGAAGGGAGGATACTCAGAGCTGCTTTGTGGAACGTTCTTTGGAAGCTGTCCTGTGCTGGCTGGATATGAGTTTGCCATATTTATAACTCCGTACTTGCTTGCGTTGTCCTGAAAATCAGTGACAGCAGTAATGATAGCTTACATTTAAAGAATGCTTGCTGTTCGTCAGACACTGTGCATAGATTTCCTCATTGGATGCTCACCACACAGCTTTGTGGTAGGCACAATGATTTCCATTTCACAAGGAAACTGGGACTCAGAGGGGGAGAGTGACTTGCCCAAAGTCACAGCTATGAAATGACTGAGCTTGAATTTTCCAACTGGGTCTTTCTGACTTCAGAGCCCTTGTTCACCTTAGAGAGTTTCTGGCCCTGAACTATCCATTAGAAATATTATGTGAGCCACATATACGAATTTTCTAGTAGCCACATGAAAAAAAGTAAAAAAAAAAAATTCGATGAAAATATTTTAATAATATATTTTATTTAACCCAATAGATCTGAAATATTATCACTTAAACACATAATATAATAAAAATTTATTAATGAAATGTTTTACATTCTTTTTCTAGTATTAAGTCTTTGACATCTGGTATATATTTTCTATCTAAAACATATCTCTATTTAGATGCCAAATTTTCACTGGAAATACTTGTTCTGTATTTAGTCTCATAAAAAAAGTAGACTTCATAAAATTTACAGTTAATAAAAGTAGATTCACATACTCAAGTTGTTCCAAATATACTAAATTTTTCCAATCACTAAATTGAGTATCAGTTTTTAAATTAAAATTAATTTAAATTCAGTTAAATTCAGTTCCTCATTCACACTGCTGTATATCAAGTGCTCAGTAGCCACATGTAGCTAGAGGCTATTATATTAGACTTAGCATTTCTAATCGAGCCTCCATATGAGGAAACTGAGGCCCGCGTGAAGTTATCGAACAAGCCAGAGCTAGAGCTGGTTCTAGAAACCTGGGGAAATGCAGGTAAGCAGAGATATTCCATCCTTGCATACTCATCTAGCCATCTGCCTATCCATCTGTTAATCCGTTGTTCATTCAAGAAATATCTAGTGCACGCCTACTCTGTCTGTGGTAGTCCTTGGGGCGAGGAGCTGATTTGCTGGGAGCAAGAGTGACAGGTCCCTATGCAAAGGGGAAAGTGGAAGCTCTCAATCAAATGTGCGATTCAGATTGGACAGACGCATGGATATGGCAGAGAGGCCAGTGGGGATCTGACCTGCGCTGGGGGTTCGAGGAGGTTTCAGAAGGAGACCTGAAGTGATGTCCACCTGAAGGAGCATGCTAAAGATCAGCTACCGCTGCAATAATGCTGTGGGGGAAAAAAACCCAAAAACAAAAAACCCAATCCTAGTGGCCATGGCAACAAACATTTATTATGCTCCTGGGAAGGCTGTATGTTGGACTATTAGAAGCTGGGCTTGGCTGGGTGGCTTTTTGGTCCAGGCTATGGGTTGGGCTCAGGTCTACTCTGTTTGTTCCTTCTGGAGCCCAGGATGAAGGGTATCAGCTCCTAGGGCAGGTTCTTCTCATGGCAAGTCACTGGAGTTCAAAGACAAGCAACGTGCACAAGCACATTGACATTCTCTTGTCTGCATTATGTCCACCCTCATTCCACTGGCCCAAACAAGGCATGTGGCTGGGCCTGACATCAGTGGGGAAGGACAGGAGGGGTAATTGCTGAGTAGGAGTTAGGTGGAAGGGGTAATAGTATCTCAGATGACAGATCCCCAGGTGGGATGGAACATAGGGCATCCAAAATCCTGGAATCTGGGGATTTTGTTTTCATCACCTTCATTGTCCAAGACACAACACTGTCCAAAGTCCACAATATAGCAACTGAAAGTGGACCCTTGTGGTTGGAATATGGTGGTAATGGGCGGGGGGGGGGATGGTCCCTGACCCCCATGTGGACTGGTATGTGTGGAGGCAGAATAGTAGGGATTTGGGGGATGGCTGAGTGTGTGTGTGTGTGTGTGTGTGTGTGTGTGTGTGTACGTAGGTAGGTAGGTAGGTAGGTAGGTAGGTAGGTGGGGGCAGCATAACAGACCCAGAGAACATTCTTCATGCTGCCAGCTTTGCCTGAACTGGCGAGGGATAGCTCTGACCTGCTGCCTCCTGCTCTGGCCACAAAGGGAGAAGGTGACACATCACTGTGTGGCTGCTACGGGAAGGTCCAGATTTGAAAGAGCACAGTTCTAAAAGGCTGCGTGACCTGGGTTCAGATCCTGACTCCACCCTGATTTACCCTGAAAATGGCTTCCTTCCAGCTCTAGAATTCTTCTCCCCTGTGATTCTAAGAGGACAAGACTGAGAATAAAGAGGAAAGGGCCATAGTGAAACAATAAGTAGGACCTGAAACGGGGAATTGCTGTGCCTGACAGGACGGGGTCTGTGCTTGGGGGTCTCCAAGAAAGGAGAAGGAGAATTTTCTTCCCTCGGTGTGGTGGGTGGGAGGCTTCCCCGCTCAACATAACTTCTATTGGGATGTAGGTGCAGCCACCATGATGGGGCTTTCCCATGGCCAAATTAGGACAGGACATCTTCCATGTGCAGTAAAAAAATGGACAGTAAACCTGAGTATTTCTCCAAATGGAGTCTTTAGATCCGAGTGTCCAAGAACTTGTTGCTAGAGTCTAAGAGTTTTCCAGGAACTCTGAAATTTTGTACTTTTCATTGTGCTGATAATTCCCTCAAATGATTAGATCACATCCTAAGTTATCTGGAAAACCACAGTAAAAAAACAAGAACCATAATACCATTCTTGGTTTGTGTTTGCCTTTGTATATTCGACTGAATTGGCACCTAGCAGTTATCTAAGGAGACTTTATGGCAGTATGCTCAAACTCCCGAAATCTCGGTTTGTTGCCGTCATCCTCACTGCCCCGAGACACCACAAAATCCAGGACTCCTCAATCTCTGGACAACTGCCACAGCCTCCTAAATGCTCTCCTCATCTCTTTCCATGCCCTTCTACCTCCAACGCAGTGTGTTCTCCACACAGCAGCCACTTTTTAGGCAAAGAAACTGGGAGTCAGCAGGGGTAACTAACTTGGCCATGGCTATCATGGTAAGCATCAGAGCCTCAATGGGAACCCAACCAGTCAGTCACTGGTGAGAACAGTATTTTGGGATCAGACTGGCCTGTGGGCAGATACCAGTTCTGCCATGCACTAGTGTAAGCTTCAGCACATGACTACCTTTTGTATTTTCAGTTTTCTTGCCTGTAAAATGGGCCGATAATAACCTCATAGAGTTCTAATGAGAAGCCAAAGAGGTCAGTTGCAGCAAGTGCTGTCAGGGCCTCCACAGCCTTACTAATTCAGAGTGCAGGCCAGTGTCTGCAACTTATTGACAGGGGGCTTTCTCCGAACTACTGACCTCCGTGCATAGGCAGAGCAGAACTGAGCAATTCATACAAGTAGAAGCATCTTCCCACCACGACTACTAGTGTGTAACTGCCCCAGCTTCTTCTCCCTTTGGGTGAAGTAATCTGAAGGTATGTGTTTTAGGCTGTTTCCCGGTGCTCCCCAACAGAATTAACACCCAGATGCCCATCATGGTAACTGGCTTGGTAACATACTCTTTACCGGCTGTCTCCCCTTCCCTATCTCATTCCCTGACTACTCCATCAGTGTTTCCTGAGATCACCTTCATGCACTCAAATCTGTATTTCAGGGTCTGCTTCTGTGGACCCCAAATGAAGCCTTAAAGCAATCATTTATTCATTCAACAAATATTTATTGAGCCCTTGTATGAGCCAGACTCTGGGCTAGAGTTCTGTATTAAGTTAGAAATGGTCATTAGACGCCCAAGCGGAGGTGCCACTTAAGCAGCTGAACTGTGGATCTGTTAACTCCAGAGGGAGATCAGGCTAGAGATGTGAATCCGGGAGTCTTTCACCTATAGCGCAGCGCTGTAGAAACAGAATGTGAGCCACGTATGTAATTTAAAATTTCCCAGTAGCCATGTTAAATGGTAGAAAGAAACAGGTGAAATTAATTTAAATAACATAGCTATTTAATTCAAAGTATCCCAAATATTACTTCAATGCGTAATCAATATAAAAATTACTGATGAGCCATTTCGCATTGTTCCTTCGACATCCAGTGTGTATTTCCCATTTAGAGCACATGAAACTTGCACTCACCACATTTCAAGCGGTCAGGCTACTGGGTACCGTATGAGCTCATGGAGCTGTGGTTTTCCCAAGCCAGGAGCCTGGACTCACCCGAACCGTACTGAGGAGGCACTTCCGTTGGAGCCACCCGGAACGAAGTGGCGGCGGAACGGAAGTCGCGTACGCGCGCGCTCGCAGCTGCAGACCCGCTGAGAGGAGAGCTGGGTCGGCTGAGAGGAGCTCCCGCTGCGGGATGCTGGGCGCTGGGGCTTCGGAAGGTGAGCCGCGCGCGGGTTGCAGGTGGCCTGCACCCCTGCCCACGCCCGCGCCGGAGGCAGGAGGGGCGGCGGACGCCCGGAAATGCGCGGTCTTCAAGGGGAGGATGGCGAAGTGGTTACCGGGCGGACCTGGGAGTCAGACGTTGGAGTTCGCATCCTAGCCCCACTGCCTACTCGCTTGTGACCTTGGGCAAGTCACCCTTCTTCACCCCGAGCCTTAGCTTCGTCCCCTGGGAAGTGGGGATGATAGTAGAACCTGCCTCACGGGGTTGCTGGGAATTAAATACGGGAATCCATGAGACGCGTTTAGCACCACGCCGGACACGTTATAACCATCCAATAAAATGTTTGGGATGCTTTACTGTTTATGTGTGTTTATATCGAGAAGAGGCCGTTGTCTCATGGTTATTCCCAACAACTACCAATTTCTGAGCTCCCTACACTGCTGGGCAAGTATTTGTATTGTCACATTTGATCCTCACAACAGACATAGAGGTGGGTACCATTATCCCTATTTTACACATGAAGAAATGGAAACTCCGAAAGCTTAAGAAGCTCCCTGGTGCCCAAAGTTGGTAGGTACCTGGCTAGCGAGCAACTGTGTCAGATTCTAACTCTAGGATCTTAACCACAATGCTCTGTACCCACCATGAGATGCGGTGTGGGCTGCAGATGTGATGTTACTGAAAACTTACTGTATACCAATTGGGGTTTTTAATATCTCCTTTAATTCTCACAGCATCTCTGGGAGGTAGGTACTACTTCTATCCTTATTTTGCAGCTGTGGAATTGGCAGCTCAGAGACAGGAATTCGACTTGCCTAAGGTCACACAACAAGTAAGGGGCAGAAATGGGTGACTTTAAAAAACTCACACTAAAAGTCGGCTGTTCTCTGACACTTGAAAGTAGGTTAGCATTGCTCCTGTCTAAAGTGCTAGTAGCATATACAGGAGGTGATCAGCTTATAGAGGTGACAGGCCACATCTGCTCATTTTACGTGTACAGCACCTGCCATGAGCCATTTACTAGGGTGGGAGATGCTCAGGAGGTAGATGTGAATGAGATTTGTCTCCTGTTTTCAGAGACCTCCTAGCTTATAATAAGGGATGGCAAAAGTGTAAGTAGTAAGTAACAGCAAAGTATAATGACTCTTGTGATAGAGTTACAAGGAGGCTTTGGGAACCCAGAGGAAGACCCCAGCCTAGACTTTGGGGTTGGTGGCTAGGACAGGCTTCCAGGAGGAAGCGGAGACCTAAAAAGTAGCATAGGAGTTGGCCAAATCAGTAGAGAAAAGAGCATATGTAAAAGCCTAGAAAGCTAGTGAAGATCAGTACAAAGATGTCTGGTGTGGCTGGAGTGAGGCAGTCAAGCCGGAGATGTGAGGATCTATTAAGAATACGTGATGGAAAGTATGTCTCCATCTCTTTTTTTTTGAAGATTTTTTTTTTTAATTGGGGAATTGGGGAGGGGAACAGCCAAGTTGTTGTCCTTCAGTCTTAGTTGTGGAGGGTATAGCTAGCTCAGCTCCAGGTCCAGTCACCATCTGGCTGCCTGTCGGCAACTCGTGGCCACTGAGCTCAAGGTGCTGTGTTCAATCTTAGTTGTGGGCAGGTGGGCGTAGCCCACCATCCCATGTGGGAGTCGAACCAGCAACCTTGTTGTTAGGAGCATGTGCTCTCACCAACTGAGCCATCCTGCCACCTTGTTGGCAGCTCAGCAGCAGCTCAGCTTGGGCGCAGCTCACTGACCCATGTGGGAATCGAACCGGCAACCCACTTGCTCAGAGCTCACTCTCAACCAAGTGAGTCCCTCAGGTGCCCCTCCATCTCTTTTACTTTGAGTCACCTAGGTTCCTTCTGGGAGGCAACCACTGTTTCTTATGCATTCTAGAGATATTAAGTGCTCTTACAAATGTGTACCTTAATATTTCTGCATTCTTTCACAGATTCATGTATGTATAGGTAGTATAACATTTAGCCCTTTGCTTCTTTGCTATTTTCATGTACAGATTCAGTCTCACTTCTAAATGTTGCATCTTGTTCCATTGTACCATGACTTATTTAACAAGTCCCCTATTGATGATGATATCTGTTTCATTCCTTTGCTATTGGAAACACTGCTACAACAAATATTCTTATACATAGGTCACTTTGCACATGTAAGAGTGTATCTGTAGGATAACTACCTAGGAATGGAACTGCTTGGTCAAAGGGTTTGTGTGTGTGTGTAATTTTGATGGAAAGTGGCAAATTGCCCTCTGTAAGGTTGTATCATTTTCCATTCACCCAGCCATGGGAGGAAAGTTTGAAGGCACTAATTTGAGACTCTTGGAGTGTGGAAGGAGTCAGTGATCAGGCATATGGTGCCCCATGTTAGATACTTTCCTTTTGAAGGAACTCAAAGGAAGATGCCCTCTGATAGTGGTTTTCATAGTATTGAGAGGCAGTGTAGCAAGGTGGCCAGCTCTGCTGCTTACTAGCTGTGGGGGATTAGGTGAGTTTCTCAGCTGCTCTGTGTCTATTCCTCATCTCTGAATGGGATAATAATAGTGTCTCTTGCCTATGTTACCCAGGATTGCTGTGAAGCTTTAATGAGCTAATATACTTCAAGCCCTTGGAACCGATCCTGGCACAAGGTGTTACTTTATTTTGTCAGGGCTTCTCATCTCATCTCTACCACCTTTGTTTTGAAAACAGACTGTCTGAATTTGCATCTCATCTCTGGCACTCTTTTGTATGGACTTGGGCAAGTTGCTTCAGTTTTTTCACCTGTAAAATAGGGATGATAATATTAAAAGTATCTTTTTCTTGGGTTTTTGTGAGAATTAAATGTGTTAATACACTTGAAGGGCTTAGATCAGCGCCCTGTACATAGTGTTCAATAAATGCTGGTGATGTCTGTCATTCTTTTGCAGACTCTGGGCTGTTTTAGTGCCATGCATCATTTACAATGTATCCTCGGAGCACAGAGGAGTCTGAGGTGGGGGCCCTCGGCCTCTGGGTCCTGGCTGCTGCTCAGGACCTGCAGGGCACACAGCAGTTTCCCTGGCACTGCATGTCCCAGTGCAGAGGGGCAGCAGGAGGATGGAGTTCAGAAGGATTTCCGCTCCAGGCTGGCCACTGGACCGACTTTTCAGCATTTTTTAAGAAGTGCTACAGTTCCTCAGAAGAAGCTGTCTTCTCCAGATGTGGAGGACCCACCCCCCTATCTCACAGTGGATGAACTTTTAGGAAGGCAGAGAAAAGGTTGGTTTTATTATTTTTTTTCTCTCTTTGGGCTTTCTGCTTCGCTCTTTTCCGGCATCCATGGCCTGATTTTTAACTGTTCTTTTATTACAGACCTGCCTTTGGAGGGTTAACAGTGTGGGAAGGCTGCTAAGTTATGGAATCAGCAAATTCTACCAACTACATTAATATAAAGAAACTTGTGGCATTATGTACCTTCTGGCCACTGCTGCTACCTCCAGAGGCTGGAGAACCTCATTTTGAGAAGGAGTAGAACATATGGCTTTAAATTTATTTTTCCCCTGGATTGATAATCAATGCCATCAGCTAGCCTTCTCTTTTCTAATTGTTTTTGCAACCATGTTTCCTTGATTTCTTATGTGCATATTTTCTCCATATTTTTAATGACATAGCTTATAATTGGTGTGTGTATGTAATGTAGTATTCCTTTCGTTCTGAAAGGCTCTCATTAAGTTTGTGGTACATTTGGCAATTAATGGTGTCTTAGAATTGAGGCAACAGGAGACTTAGTGGATAACCAGTGTTTCTGGGGCATTTGGGAAGGAGACCTCTTGAGACAAGTGGTTCCTTTTTTTCTGCCTACTATGGAATTTACCTCTTGTTGCAGTGTACCTTGAGACCTACGGCTGCCAGATGAACGTGAATGATACAGAGATAGCCTGGTCCATCTTACAGAAAAGTGGCTACTTGCGGACCAGTAACCTCCAAGAGGTACACATATTTCCTGTTTCCCCATGTTTCCTGAGCCTGGGTGAGACTCTGCATTTGTGCCAGTTCTCAGATGCAGTTTCGGGAACAGGATATGGCCTGGCGAGAGTGAATTCCTTTGAGTCAAGCGTGTAGCTTGGGACCAAGGTGTACATTTGTTTCAGTTATTTTTGAAATTTTTATCGTGGTCCTCACCTTCAGGCAAGGAACTAAGTTAAAAATGGGCTGCGAGGGGGAGAATGGGGGCTAGTGTTTAAAGGGTACAGAGTTTTAGATGGGGAAGATGAAATGTAAATATATTTAATGTTACTGAACTGTACACTTAAAATTGGTTAAGATGGTAAATGTTATGTATGTTTTTCCACAATAAAAAAAAGAGGAGGGGGCATGGGCAGTGAGTCTACAAGGTTAATTTCAAAGATCATAATTTTCTTTTTTTTCCTTGCTCTTCATTCAGGCTGATGTGATCCTCCTTGTCACATGTTCTATCAGGTGGGAATTTGTTCTTTACGTAGAGAGTGAATATATCTTATAAAATAATGCCAGAGCTAACAGTGCCAGGCTGGTCTAACTATGGAGATGAGCCAGTGAATTTGCAATTTTATAGTAGTGGAGACAGTAATGATAGAACTGGTTAACA